GAATGTTTTTAAATGCATAAAATGCACAGGATTACCAAGGAAACTTGGTACATATTTATTTGTTTGTTTGTTTGTTTATTTTTAAGGCAATTGGGGTTAAGTGACTTGCCCAGGGTCACACAGTAAGTGTTATGTGTCTGAGGACGGATTTGAACTGAGGTCCTCCTGAATCCAGGGCTGGTGCTCTATCCACTGTGCCACCTAGCTGCCCTGAAACTTGGTATTTATATTAAATTATGTTGAAATACAAATATTAACATATTAAAAAAAACAAGTTCATGAATTTCAAGTTAAGAACTCCTGGACTGCAAGATACTGTTCCTTAGTTCCTTAGTAAAGACCCTGGGCACGTCTTTACTCTGTTTGCCTGTCAAATGAGCTGGAGAAGGAAATGGCAAAGTACTCCTGGATCTTTGCCAAGAGAACCCCAAATGGGGTCCCGAAGAGTTGAGCATGACTGAAACAGATGGGCAAAAACAAAACTACCTGGTTTGGCTTTCTGAATCAGCACATGTAATAATAAAATCAATAGCTATTTACGTAGGCTTTAAGGACTGCCAAGTGCTTTACAAGTATTATCTCATTTTATCCTCACAACAACCCTGGGAAGGAAGTGCTATTATTATCCCCATTTTACAGATGGGGAAACTGAGGCAAACTGAAGTTGAGCGACTTGCCCTGGGTCACACAACTAGAAAGTATCTGAGTCTGGATCTGAATTTAGATCATTCTGACTCCAAACCCAGGCTCTATCCACTTCACCATCTAGCTGCAATGCAGTCCAACCCGATTTAAGAAACATGTCCTGAATACCTACTAGTATAGAAAGAGGCTTGTATCTGGAGTCAGAAGGCCTAGATTTGAGCCTCAGCTCTGGTGTTTTTACCAGGTGAGTGACCTTGGGCAAGCCATTGTCTTTCTCAGTTTCCTCATCCATAAAATGGAGAGGAAGGCTTACACTAAATGGCCTCTAAAAGTCAGAGTTTTGTCTCTGAGATTTTGTATCATAAAGGCAGGGAAAAGGCATTTGGCATTTTTTACCTATGATCTCAGAATCTGAGCCTGAGCACACACTTGAAATCTTCTCTGTGCTCCTGAATCCCAGAACTTCTGTAGTTAAGTTGGGTGCAAAGATATCCTTTCCCCCACCTGCCACCCTCCTCTTCTCCCTTCAGCCCTGCTTCACTTTTTTTTTTTTTAGCAATCAGGGTTAAGTGACTTGCCCAAGGTCATACCAGCTAGTGTCTGAGGCAGGATGTGAACTCAGGTCCTGCCTCCAGGGCCAGTGCTTTACCCATTTTGCCACCTGGTGTCCCTTCCTGTTTCACTCTTGAAAGAAACATACTAGGGGAAATGGAGAACATACCAATCCTAGAAGGGATTCGCCACGCCCTTCCCGCTCCAAGATTAACAGGGCCCTTCCTTCCGTCAGCTTCAATGATCATCTCTTTGCAGATGATTCTCAAATCTTGTCCAGCCTTAAGCTTAGTGCTGATCTCGAGTCTCACATCTCCAACTGCCCATTAGCTATCTTGAACTCGATGTCTTGTAGACATCTCAAACTCAACCTGTCCAAAACTGGACTCACTACCTTTCCCCCCAAACCCTCCCCTCTTCTTAAGTCCCCCTCTTACTATGAGGGTACCACAATCCTCCTAGACACCCAGCCTCCCAATCTAGATGTCAACCTCTGTTCGTTCTCTGCCTCCCCCCCCCCATCTATTGCTAAGGCCTGTTGATTTTACCTTTTTAAAAAAGTCATTTCTCAAATGTACTGCCTTCTCTTCTTGGACACTGTTACCACCCTGGTCTAACCTCTCATGCCTAGATTATTGCAATAGCCTGCTGCTTGGTCACCCCACCCCAAGTCTCCCCCTCTATACTCCATCTCCCATTCAGCTGTCAAAGTAATCTTCCTAACATATAGGTCTGACCGTGTCATTCCTTTATTCACTAAACTCAGGTGGCTGGCTCCCTATTACCTCCCATTTGGCTTGCAAATCCCTTCCTAAGCTGGCCCTTTTCTACCTTTCTAGTCACCTTAATCCTCCATGTATTGGGTGATCTAGTGACGCTGGTCTCCTGGCTGTTCCTCCTACAACACACCCTATATCTGTATCTTGGAATCATCCCTGGCTGTCCCATCTACGCCCCCCCCATACCTTCCTCCTTCTGTCTCCTGGCTTCTTCAAGTCCCATTTAAAAGTCCTTCTTTCTGTAAGAAGGCTTTCCCAATCTCCCTTAATCCTAGGGCCTTCCCTCTGTTGATTCCCCAGTTCTTGAATTCATTTTACATGTCTTGTTTGGACATATATGTTGTTTGCATCTTGACCCCGCCATTAAGTTGCGATATCTGTGATGGCAGGGACAATCTTTTGTCTAGCTGTATCCCAGCCCTTAGCCTACCTAGGGCCTTGCCCGTGGTAGCCGATGTTTATTGACTGACTGAAGTTTGGGCATTTGTAAGTGGTTTCGGAGAGAGAAGAATTACCCCAGAGAAAGATCAAGAAACCTAGAGGAAGAGAGGAAAAGTAGACTCAATATGGCTAGCACTTGGTTTGCAACAGACAGTACGCTACAGTGTAGCCTCAAAGTTTGAGTGTAGTGATACTGCCCTCTGCTGTTAGCATAGCAGATTACTGACATGCCAACTGATGAAAAATAGTGCATTATAAAGAGCACTGGGCTTAGAATCAGGAAGATTCCTCTTCCAGAGGTCAAATACTTACTAGCTGTGTGATCCTGGACAAGTCACTTAACTCTATTTGCCTCAGTTTTCTCCTCTGTAAAATGAGCTGGAGAAGGAAATGGCAAACCACTTCAATATTTTTGCCAAGAAAACTCCAAATGGGGTCATGAAGAGTCAAATATGACTGAACTGACTGACAACAACGCTGAAAACTATCACACTAACTACACTTGAAATTTTAAATACAAAATAATGAGGTTATTGGCCATCTGCAAAGTGGTACTTAGGACTTGCCCAAGTATAAAGAAAAACTTGATTAAGAATTTAAAATATATGTAAAAAAATGTAAAGCTTCAAGTACAAAAACAGTTAAAAAAGAAATTAAAATGTCATTCAGTTTTTAAAAATGAGACTTTTATTCATTGGTGTTTAAATTATTTTCAACTCTAAGTATTTTTCAAATGAACTTCAATATTTAAAAAAGTCCCATATCATACACATCCATCCGTTAAGATGAAGCTCTGCGGGTCCATTTACAAATGAACCATGTGTGGTTCCCAAACATAGGCCTATATGCACTGCTAAGAACATGGAGACACTATTATGTCCACATACATGGAGGCAGGATAGTTGAGAAACTGGTTGAGAAGGACATCTTTCTGTGTAAATACGTGCATACTAAAATGAACCACTTCTCCCTTAAACAAGAGTACGTACAGGGGGACTTGGGGAAAACCAATCAAGAGTCACTCCATTTAAAGTGTAACTCTGGATGATCACATAATGATCTGGTGTGGAGTGCCAAGGCTAGGATTAGGAGAGCTACCATCACAGGGTGCAAATAGATACTCCACACCCCAAAGCCACAACTTCAGATGGAATGGAAGCCCCTGCTTTAAAGAGGAAGAGGAACAGACTTTCCCAGGTGAGGCAGGTATACATAGCCCCATGCTTCAGAATATTGAGAGTTTCACTGTACAAATTCCATTTAATTTAATTCCATAAGCATCTATTATGTGCAAGGCACTGTGCTGGGTCTGGGGATATCAAATATGAAATAGTCTTATTGCATTTGGTATCAGGTGTTTTTTGATGTGTTGGGTGGTTTTTGCTGAGTGTTTTTCCCTCCTCCCTGCCTCCCAACCCCTTGTTTTTTTCTCTTTGTTATTAGTTTTTTTTGGGGGGGTATAAAATACTTCAGGAAATATAAATGATGTGAAAACCAAATATATCAATCCAATTTTAATTAAAAAAAACCTTAACAGTTCCTGCCCTCAAGTAGTTTATATTCAACTGCACAAATTGTAAACTAAATAACTTGATTTAGCACGCGCGCATGTGTGTGTATGTGTGTGTGCAGGGAGGGAGGGGGGTGGGCAATATGTTTTCCTGGGCTCTAGATTTGTAATGTGGTTGACCAAAGCTCCTAAGCCATAAGCTAGCGAGATCTTGTTTCTCTTTTCTGCCCAGACAGCTCAAGATATTCCTTTCCTCTCAGTACGCATAAATCACTGCAGAGGAATAGCAAAGGGGATTCTCAGAGGAGGTGGGGGGGGGGGAAGTCCGGCTTCTCTAGCCTCAGGGGACTGTGTTTGCGTGGGTGGGAGGGAAACAGTGGGGAGAAGGAGAGTTGCAACTGTTCCAGCCTCAGTCCACTTTTGGGAAATACAATGGAAGAGCTCTTGGCGTTCACAGTGGCTGAGAGAGTCATGCAGGAAAGGAAATCATGTAGGTATATGCAAGGCTTGCTGCGCATTTGTGTTTGTCTTAAGTGGTCTGGGAAATTCACATTTCTATAGCCACCTTTGCTCCATCAAGTCTGTCCTTTGTCATCAGGGTTACTCCTGGGCATTCTGGCAGTTACCATGGACACCATCTGGGGCTTGACTTACTGCCCTCTGATGTTCATGGGAGCCCAAACAAAAGGTTGCAGTCATAATGGAGACATACACAGAAGGGAACAGTCTTCTTAGATCTTTGTCCCGATCTATGGGAATTTTTTAAAATTAAAATTTATTTTTTTCAATGAATAAAAACGTATTTCTCTCCCTCTTCCTATTTAAAAAAAAGAAAGAAAAACAAAACTCTTGTAACAAATGTGCATAATAAAGCAAAACAAATTCCCGAAATAACTGTGTCCAAAAACACAGGTTGCATCCTGCACCCTAAGCCCATCATTCCTCTGTCAGGATGTAGGCAGGGTGCTTTGTTATCAGTCCTCTGGTATGGTGACTGGTCATTGCACTGATCAGAGTTCCTAAGTCTAAGTGAATTAATATGGAGAATTAAGTCTTGGTTTCTCTCCTCACAGAAACTCTATGCTTGGATCCAAACTGTGGCTGTGACGTGGCCCCGTCAGGAGGCAGGAGACTCGTCTGTGTCCGAGGATGTCCTCCCCTTCAGCTCAGACTCAGGAATGGGCTGTGAGAACGACTCTGAGGCAGTCACAAGCCTGTCAGAGCCCCTCACCCCAGACACATGCAGTCATGCTTTCTCCATTGGGCAGGAGCTGGAGCCTGAGGAGGGAATGTGCTCCCTGGCAGACCTGGACAGCCAGCAACAGCTAGGAGATCTTTCTGGCTCCTCAGATATCATCAAAGAGCATGAACTCTGGCTGGCAACTTGCATCTCTGCCCTGGAGAGGGATGTCTCAGAGGAAGAGCTGGCTGAAGTAGATGGGGCTGTGGATGCCCTCGAGAGGTGGGAGATGTTCACAGGGCAACTCCCAGCCCCCAGAAAGGACTTGCCTTTCAGTAGAGACACTGTAGGGCTACGAAAAGTCCTGGGGGACAAATTCTCCTCCTTAAGGCGGAAGCTGAGCACAAGAAAACTGTCTAAAGCTGAAACTTCCCCTTGTCGATGGAAGTGGGAAGACAATTAGTGTAGCAATACCTTTCTTGACTCCTTTTTGTTCAAGGTAGAAAAAAAATTGTCTTTTCCATTTGTCTTTCCCTTTTCCCTCTTCAGCTCCATTATACTTACAAGCAAAACTGAGTTGAAAAGTAACCAAGGACTCTATGGATGTATCACAGTGGGAGGTCTTCCCACCCCACAAATGCCTATTTATATTAGATTACTGAATAAGATTTAGTTTCTACCATTTCCTTTACAGAATCACAGATCAATATTAGAAGGAACTCAGAGACCATCTAATCTAACTTCTACTCCTATTAAGAATCCTTCATCCATCCCCAATTAGCCTTTGCTTGAAAAACTCCAAGTGAGGGGAAACCTATTACCTCCCACGGCAGCCATTCCAAGGCAGTGGAATCACTTTGGGATGGTTCTAATATGAAGTTTTAAACTCACTGATTTAATTCTGTCCACCTTTCCTCCCTCCTTCCCCAAATCCCAACCCTAGATCTCAGATATCCTTAGAGCTCCAGATACTGAGCTGAGGTCCAATGAGGTAACATGTAAAGCGCCTTGTAGACCTTAAAGTGCTCTATAAATGCCATTATATTGTTATTCATGTTGTTGTTGTTGTTATTGTAACTGGGTGCCATAAGAGATGAAGAGAGTCCTTGTGTTCCAAGCTTCTTGAAATGTCTGTGGCTTCCTAAACAAAGGTGTCTGAGAGAGGAGCAGGCATGACAAATCTTACTATCTTTCAGTGCCTAAGGTGCTGACCTACGATGGGTCAATATTCACATTAACTTCAAGGAGAAACCATATCTGCTCTCCAGGTTTCGGGCTCCCTCTTCTGGGAATCTGGAATCTCTTTGAGGCTGGGACATGGGTCCCTCTCCCCTATTGCCAGCAGAGGGATCTGTGCCTGTGGCAATTGAAGGAAGGAAGTGGTTCAGTCAATCTCTCATTCCCGGCTGAGATTTTAGTGCCCACTGGTCTCTTTAGTTATTTATATCTAGCAGCTCAAGAGGCTGATAGAATTTCAGGCAGGGGAGTAACAGAGGAAATACACTGACTCCCTCCAGTAGCAAATTCAAATTGGCATTCCAAGGCTGATGATAGGTATCTCCACTCCCACAAAAGGGGAAACCAGCTTTTTTCCTTATCTATGCTGCCTCCCTCTGTAAAGCAAAGCCAGTCTTAATGATCAAGACTTCAATGGCAATTACATCAATAACAGTATGTAACAATGTTCACCCCATGTAAATCCATGTGGTCCTCAGGCAGGGTAACCAACTTTCACTAAAAATAATCATTTTTGTAAAAAAAAAATAGTGATCTTGTAAGAATGTGTCCAATGTAAACCTTGCTCTTTTTCTTTCTTTCACAGACTTTGGGGGGGGGGAGGAGTAGGGATGATCTGAAAAGTGCTGCAAGATTTTGACCCTTTCCCTCCTATTCTGAAGCAGATGCTTGTAATAACTTGCAGGTCACAGTGAGGTCTGGGTAGACTAAAAGGGTAAGGACCGAGTCTTCTGATCTGAAGCCTGTCTATGTGGAAGAGTCAGAATGAAGACGAGAAATCTTAATGCAGAGATGCAAGGGCTCACAGAATGAGCAGAGAGGATAAAATACAGTTATTTTTGCAGGTGAGTCCTGCTCCAGGAAAATGCCAGGACATGAATGCTGACTGTTGTAACTCAAAAGTAGCATTAACATGTTCAAACTGACACTCCTCTTTATAGTCTTGAGAGGGCTTACTATGAGGGCTCTTTAAATAAGAATTAAGAGAAGATAAAGAACAATGTGTGAACCAAAGAGTGATATTGTGCAAAGAAAATATCATTATATAACAGCATTGCTGGAACAGAGGAATACAAAAACAGTTTCCTTCCTGGGTAGCCTACTGATGTTCCATAATCTTACCCACTTTCTGATTTCCTCCTGATCTCTTCTATAATGGATTTATAGAAGGCTGTACTTAGATTAAATAGAGATCCCAATAATAAAAGGCATGGTACAGCCCTCTAGGAGCTGAGGGCATAATGTCATGTATGGTCATCACTAGTTATTTTACCTTATCAGTCAAATGGATGACTTTCAGATGGGAAACAATTGATTCAGTCGACTGGTACCTAATTAGGTACTTTTGCCCACACCCTCTCAATCCCCAGTGGTTTTGAGAACAAATGAAGAGCATGTGGAAGATGGTAAGAAGCAATAATCAATATACATTTTAAAAGAGAGCACTTTGCAGCAGTCTTTGTTGCTTACTAAGCAAAGATGGTGGAAACCCTTGGGGAGTAGAGCTTTTAAAACGAAACATTCTGGGAGCAAAGACTTCAAGGTCAATCCCCACTAACCTCCTAAGCCTCAATTCCTGCTTTTGCTCATGCTGACAGCTAAGATCTTGAAATACCAACATAAAACCAGTTAACATGGACAGTAGATTTGCTATTAAATTCACCCTGTACAAATCTCTCCCAAGTTTTTTAGGCCTACGATGGAACACAAGTTAGACCTTATTACCTTGTGATCTTGACCCTTAACCTCTTTGGACCTGTTTCCTCATCAGCAAACGAGGGATTTGAATTTTGGTGATGTCTGAGGTCCTTTCCAACTCTAAATCCACGATTCATGCCCGTAAAATGAAGCTAAACTCATTATCAGTTGCAGACATTAGTTTCCAAGAAGTCAGAGGGACTGAATGAAATTAAATCATTTAGCAGCTTGTTTTCATTTCTGTACTAAAGAAGACCACTCTACCTAATTTTCTCATGTTATTGGCTTAACAAAAGACTTTCAAAGTATAGGCATCTCCTTACCTTCGATGGGCATATACACAAAATTTTAATTGGATTGGCAATTGCCTAACTGGTACCTTCATCAGCATAGGTACGGGACAGGTGACATGGCACAAAGGAGAGAACATAGGCTCTAGAGGATGTTATCATATGCCAAGTCTCTACATTCTGAGCAGAGGGGCACTTCCTATCTGCTACTGAAAAGGAAGAAGATGTATCCTCCAGGTTGGGAAGATAGAAAAAAAAAAGATGATATTGGAAGGGAAGGTGGCCTTCAACATTTACACGTGCTTGTAAGTGACAATCTTCACTAACACAGGACAGCAGTGGAGCACAACATGAGGAGCTCAGGATGTGGAGTCGGAGAGAACTGGCCTCCACTTCCCAGCTGTCTCTTTCTGACCTTAGACAATTCCCTTCGGCCTTCCGGACCCTCCATTCCTCACCGCTAAAACGAAGCAGCTGGACTACGTTACCTTTAAAGGCCCTTCTCTTCCAATTCTGAGTCTATGTTCCTATGAAAGACACACTGTAGCTCTTGACTAAATTGGTCTAGCCCTGACAGGAGAGGAAACAGGACAGCAAAGACACTGTTGAATGAATAAAAAAGGTCAAAAGCAGTAAGGAAACCTGTAGCCACCTGGTTTTAAAGCAATAACTCTCTCTCAGCCCTGTACTCCTTGGTTGATGAGATTACTCAGAAGACCTTTTGGCAGAAATGAGCAGACTGGGTGGGTGGCCAGGGTTTGGGGACAAAGACGCCAACAAAAATAAAACCCTGAGGAGCTCAGGCTTATTTGGTTTGTTTATTTAAAGAGGGAGAGGTCCCCCCCCAAAGAATATTTATATCCTCATGAAGGCCAAAGAATGAGGACTTAGTGTGGCTGTCTCACAAACTTGTTCTTGAGAAGGCTTACACGTGGCTGCGATGAAACAAAAGCCTTCCTTATAAGCTTGCTGTGTTAAAGCTACAGCAAGAGGCAAAGAGGTGGATTTTGCTGCCTGGTTTCAGGCCTAAAAAGGGACAGCAAAGACATATGTATTTCACACTCCATTTTCCAAAAATGGCTTTCAATCACTTTGGCTACTCCAGAAACTGACAGCTGAAGGGACCAGAATGGGATTAGACTCAACCATGGTCTCATTCTAAATGGGGGCACCTACATAGATAGAAGCTTCTATTGCTTCAAAAAAATCAAGGAAACAGCAAATTTATGACACCTATAAAAACAGGGCAGCCAAATATAAATGAAGATAATATGAAATATTATTTATAAATGCTTATACATTTACAAATATGTGAATTCATAAATTTATAAACAATATAAATTTGTTATTTATATGTAAGCAAATGCAAAGTAATTTAGGAAAGAACTATTAAAATTAGGAACTTGATATAACCGGTCAAAACCACCTTTCTTTTTATAATGTTGCATAGCTAAAACATTTTTTTAATTAAAATTTTTTTTTCTCTCCTTCCACCTGCACCCCCCCCCCATTCATCTCTCCTCCTTGAAACCCTTCTAAGAAATACATATAGTCAAACAAAACTAATTCCTGCATTGGCCATGTCCAAAAAATTTATGTCTCAATCTCCATGCTGAGTAGATCATCTCTGTCAGGCAGGTAGGCAGGGTAGCATGTTTCAGGGGTCCTCTGGATTTATAGCTGGTCATTGTGTTGATCAGAGCACACAAATCTTTGAAACTTGTCTTTATAATGTTTCAACATATAAATCGTTCTCCCAGTTCTCCTCACTTCACATTGCATCAGTCCATACAAGTCGTCCCAAGTTTCTCTGAAACTGTCTTCTCATCATTTCATTACATTCATAAACCGTAATTTATTCAGCTATTCCCCCAAAGTTATTCCCTTAGTTTCTAGCTATCATTACAAAAAGAGCTGCTATGCACACTTTGGTACAGATAGGTCCTTTCCCTTATTCTTTGATCTCTTTGGGGTAGTAGTAATAGTATGGTGTATGTTATACAGTATTAACCTTGATTAAGCAGGATTTCTTTATCACCGATTCATCTTTATGTTCAAGTTTTACAAGAACAAGACAAAGGAAAAGCAAACAAGCTTATGCCAGAGACTTCTGTTAAAAAGGAACCTGTAGGATATGTTCTAAAGTCAGTCCCTCCACAGCTGCATTACATAGTACAGTGAGAACTGATGTTCAGAATGATCATAAGGCAAGGCAAAATCCTCAAGCACCAGAGATTAAATTATACTCCCTTGATTCCATTATAGAGCTGGAACCATCTGTAATAACAAGGTTGAAATAAAAAGGGTGTTCTGCTTTTACCCTCAGCTGACCAGAAAATTAATCAGAACTCTTTCCCAAGCCATTTCTTAATTACTTCAGTTATATAAGGTCTTACTGCACTAGAGTTGCCTGCAACAGGGAGCTCAATAATTAAATTCTAATAACAAGAAGCAATCTCTCTGTACTGAGACAATGCTTGTGACATTTGCAAGGGAGGTCCGATCTAACAGAAGTATTCCAGAGTGAACTCCTATCCCTGTCCCTGTTTGAAAGCTACCTCTTTACTTGCTAGTTTAACAGACAGAAAAAGCACCGTGAGAAAAATTCACCTTAACAACTAAGACTTAAGTGACAGTTTAATTTCAAGCACAATATCACACAGCTCTAGTTCAGTTTATTTTCATCACATTGTAGCGTTTTACATAAGCATGATATCGAAGTATGACTAGAAAAGGAGTTTGGCAGGTCCTAAAGAGAGGGGCCAATTGAGGGATGGCTCTGATGTCCAATCTAACCCCAAGAGATCCAGAGGAAAGCCTCAAGAGTGTTGAAACGTGGCAGACGTTAAGGGAAATCGTAGACAAGAGTCACACAAAAAGAAAAGGCAGGGATGAAGTTGTGACCTATACTACTGGAGGGAGTACCTTCATCAAGATCACAGGTAGCATTTCAAGTTTTAGGGCCAAATACTTGGTATTTTCATGCTCCATATTCTGTCCATCCTTTTGTTGAATGGGAGTGGCAGGATGACAAACACAGTATCTTACCCTGGTTTAGAGAAAGGAGCCCAGAAAAGAAGCTACAGAACTAGAAAGTGACCAGAATTTGGAGGCAAATGGACAATAAGTGTAGGGATGATATATGTCCAACTGCAAGATAAGACCCAAGATGCATAAAACAAACCTGATTTATGTGTCTTTTCATAGAGCAACTAAGAAAGGCAAGAGGAAAAAACAGACCCCATTTGCCTAACCTGCTGGGGTCTAGTTGAAAGGAAAATGTAGGAAAGGAAAGGAGAATCTTTTTACTTAACATCCTATTGCTCTGCCAGCTGAAATGCTACCTATCCTTGAAGATTTAGCTATGGGTTCCATTCCTTTAACATAAAAATTGCTGTCTATTGAGTCTTGGGTTTTTAATAAATTATCTTAGATCAATGGATGAGTATAATGTACATGTCTTAGAGGCTTGTTCATACTTTATCTAAACCCATGTATCATAACTGAAATTTACGAAACACTTTGAAATTTGCTAAGCTCCTTACATATGGGATCTCATCTGTGTCTATGTAGATAATAGACAAAGTAAAAGCAGAAAAACGACCATGTTGCCTAGGCTCTATGCCTGACAACAGGATTTTGCAAATCACAGCAGCAAGATATTTCTGCTCAGCAGAAATGGCAAGGAAGGTCAAGAGATCTGAGGCCAGAGTAGAATGAAAGGAGAAAACAAATATGGTGTAGACAAATGGAAAAGAATCGAGATCCAGGTCAAAGTTACTCATGTCCAGTTCCTAGTAGCCCCACCTTGTTACTTTATTTGAAAACTGTCTGTGAACATGATTATACCTAACCTGTAAATTCATGGGAGGTAGTACTTTAAAAGAGAGAAAATACATATACCCCAAGGCCTAGAAGACAGTTGCTTGTGGAAAGGCACTCAGTTAAAACCTATTCCTAGCAAGGATTTTACATAAGGAGTCACAATTCAAGGCCACCTGTCAAAAAGGTGACTTTTTAGCACAAAAGCAGGTGGTCACTGAGTCGGTTTCCCATGTCTGAGTACAGCTCAGGGCAGTCACTAGTGTCTTGCACTTTATAATTTTATTTTTATTTATGCATTTATGCCTTTGTTTTACAGAAGTCATTTCTAAATACAACCTTCCTTCTCTCCACTTCCTACTCAGTGAACTTTTCATTGTGACAGAAAAAAAAGTCATGCATTTTTTAAAAAAAAAAGCATACTGCAGACATACAGGTAATGTAAGGCAAGTTTTAATAGACTTATAAAAATCATATATACAAAACACATTAACTAATCCACCATAGCTATAAAATACACTTTTTACACTTCACAATATATATTTTAATCTAGTACACAGTATTTATTCATAAATTGAGACTTTATCACAGCAAAGTTGGCCACCTACTGTGGATGCTGTCTTGGTGCTACATAGACACTTCAAAAATAAGAAGTCAGCTATGGTGTGTTCACGTTATGCATCTCTTGGTATTCTTGTTTAGTATGTAAAACCCTTATTTTAAAAATGTTTTCCCCTTGTGAATACTTAAGTGTTAAGGCTTAACTGTCATCTTTTAACTCGCCCCTTTTTGCAAGAATATCGTGCAGTGCTCAGAGCAGTGTGCGCAGTTGCATAGGAAATGCTACAAAACCAAAGCACTGATTGATAGGGTGAGTTAAGGACAGAGTGGCAATGAACAGAAGATGGAGCATATTAACACTGAATTTCCTGGCGAGAGTTGTGTGTCAACACTGAACAGCATGCCAGTCAATTTTATTTGGTTTGAATGGTGTTAAGAGAAAAAGCACATTATGCAAGTGTGTAAAGAATTCACATAATAGTTCAAAGTGTCATTATTAACAATTCTAATGTTCAACAGATCCGACAGAGAGCAAGTTAAGAGTTTTCGTTTACCCGTGAAGACTTGTTAGCAACCATTGCAATCTACCAGGCAAAATGAAAACTGGGCATACACACTAGGGCAATGCACATTTATCTTGGTAAGTTCAAGGATTCTCCAGGCTGGGTGTGAATACTGCAGTCATGATGTATGATGGAACCTGTGATAATCTATCAAACACGTACTGAAATAATAGATGTATGCTTCTGTCAATCCATCTGCAAGGCAGTTTGGCAAATGTACAGCCAAACGCATATAAAACTGGGGCTAAATTTTAATAACAGTTTAATTTTCAGCCTTGTAAGTCTGGTTCACCTTGAAAACTGAAATTCACAGTCTCTAGTATGATCAAGTTTTCTTTGCTCATTATTCCCTTTTTTAAAAAAAAAGTACAAAAATTGCTTTGTGGCAAAGATCTTGTTTGTCATCACAAAGCTGTGTAGGAGAATTTTAAATGGCCCAGTTTATTAGGGGATGTTTTATGATAAAAATGTTCAAAGGAACATTTTCAGCAATTCTAATACATAGCAACTATCCAGCTGCTGAACTTTTCAGTGAAAGGTACAGACTAACTCTGAGAAAAAATTCTGCTGAAATTTTAGGGAGCAGCCTTTAGGAGAGGTCAGAAAATGGATCCTCCCTGTTGGATTCTTTGGCCTTTCCCCAGCAAGCCTGTTCTCAGAGGTATATGTGCCTCTTCCTTTCTGACTGGGGTTATTCTGAAGTCAACTAGAAGTAAACCCTGGACTCCCGCCAAGACTGAGATTGTAGTAATTATTTATACAGTCTACTCAAAAAGCTCCATACCTCTTAACTACTTGGCATCAAATACATACTGAACATCTTGTATATTCAGAGATGAACTTTTCTTGTGACTTCCAAGTCAGTCAATATTACCCAGTGAAAATTTTCTCTCTCTCTCACCTACCTTAAGAAACACTGTCCAAAATGACCCAAGCAGACAAAAGCTGGGGCCATTTGGAGCAGACAGGACTTCTGAGAATCCTCAAGAAAATATAGCTCTGGGAGTTTCCACAGGAAAACATCTACCTTGACTCTGAACTGCTGGGATTCCGTCTGCTTGGGTGAAACACGTCAGCTTTTTAATTATTAAAATAAAGTGAATTCAGTGCTAATAAAAAGGCGCCACAGTAACAGCATTGGGAACAGCAGCCCTTTATTTTCAGAGAACAGCACCAGGCCAGGAAAAAGGCAGGCTTCCCCTCAAATCACCAACTCAACAACTTTTCTGCAGGGATCGGTTTGGTTCTTTGGTCCACTGGCCTCTTTGCTGCAATAATAACAAATGAGGCTCAGGATTATTTTTTAAAGCAATCGACTGCTAAAGTATTGAGTTGCTTTGATTTCATTTAGAAATCCTAATTAAATGATAGACCAAAGTGAAAACTTAGGGCAGCTCACTTGGGTTAACCAAAAAAGGGCAATGAATGGGAAAAAAACCAACTATCTTTCAAAGAACCAAATACCCTTTCCAGCTAGCTCAGGGGATGTAACTGGATTTTCTGGTTTGACAAGGCCTGGAATTCGACTAAATTTGAGTAATCAAGGTTAAATTTCCACATTACATTCCTGCAGATTTCATTATGAATGAAGACTATAGGGTTTCTTTTAAAATGAAAATCTCAGACATTTCAAGGTAGCTTTGTTTAACACCTATGGAATCTTTCTGAGAAGTAAACGGTTTAAATAGTTAAGATGAAATCTTAGGGTCACTGTCAAACTTCCGCTCATCTTTCCAAAGTCTGGCGACCTACTGTATATTCTGTATTTTTCCAGGAACATCGTGGCCTACCACTGACCCCATGCCCTCTAAAGTCCTTAGTGATAATAAAATGAAACAAGAAGCCCTGCCAAAGCAAGAGAAATTTGTCTGGCTTATGAGGACCTGTGTCCTGCTCTTATTCATTTAAGGAAGCCCTATGAACCACCAAACCAAGTCAGGTTCTGGTACACCAGGAATAGTTCTAGAGACTATGAGTTTGTTACAGGCTATTTCTTGGCTTTTTCTTCCCCCTATTGCTTGGTGGAGTTATGTTATTTGTCCAGGAAACTTCATATCTAAATGTTTAGAAAAGGGAAGCTACATCAGTTCCTCTAAGTGCCTGGTTCAGAAGCAATATAAAAACAGAGGCTACTTTTCATACATTGGGCATTTCATAACCAACAAGTACTCTGGACCAGGTCTCTCTTTCCTCTGGCAGGTTTCAAGTGTTAATTAATAGTGCTAGTCTATACATGCTATCTATTCTAGAGAACCACTCTTGAGTTTGAGGTATCCTATTACCATTCAATCAAAAGAAAGGGGATTGGAGAATACTGTAGGTTTAAAGAGTAATTATGCTTTTTTCGGAAGGTGAAGCGGGGTGGAGATTGGAACTAACTATGATTTCATTGGCAGAGGGAATTCCAGGTAAGAAAATTCCCTCTACCAACATAGATTGGCAACTGCTCTGCAATTTCTCTGAGCTGCCCAGGGCAGTAAGAGGTTAAGTGACTTGCCCAGGGTTACACAGCTGGGATGTGGTAGAGGCAGGGCTTGAGCCTTCTTGACTCCAAGGCTAGATCTATATTGATGCTCTCAATTATGCCTTAAGGTACAGAACATTTCTACCTGCAGGCATGTATTGTATTTTATAAACTGAATTAGGTATTTTAAAAGAATGTACAAAACACAAAGTAGTAATCCAATTTCTAAGAAGCTAGCTAGGGGAAAATTAATTAGTAAAATAATGATAAATATTGAAACTAGTCCCTCACTACCTTATTAAACCCTGTCTTCAGATGTTGAGGCTGTTATTGTTTTCATGTCTGGCTGGTGCCACTGTAGATGCTGTGACACTTAAAATTCAAATAGAAATTCTTCTTTTGACCCACAACATACATTTAAGTTTCAACTTTCTTCAAACTTGGTCATATAAAACATTAACAATACAATGAATCTTTAGCATCATCAGCTTTCCAAGTTTCTTTTCAACTGGCAGCTTTACCTTCAAGGCCCAAAACACACCACCACTGAATACATGCAGTCTGAGACATTATTTTTAAAAACTAGTCTTCAATTCATTTTGTACAAATTATCCTCTTCGGAGTGACCTTTATACAGGTATTCAGCCCTCCAAGCTTTGGACCTCAGTGCATCCCTTTAAATAAAGGTTTAATGATTTTATTTTAAAGGTGACAAGTACTCTCACAGCAAACATGAGAATCACATATTTAATGCTAATGAGAACAGGTCAAACCATGTCCACCTCTGTCTTATATATCTCCATTAGAAGCAAACCTTTTCAATTCCAAAGCATCATTTAGAATGGGGTGGCTAAGCATATCCTGTGTAATTTATTGACTTCACACTAAAGGAGCTAAAAGACTTCTCCAACATCTGGAAGAAAACTGTGCTTATTATCACTCTCTTCACCTACTCAAATCACCAATAAAACTTGGAATTAAGAACTACCCTTTCCTATGCCACTGGGAAACCCACTTGAGGCAAGCTATTGGCCAAAAGTCATTATGGAATAGGATTTATCAATGATTATTACCCTGTCTAATGAAAGGGCTATTCTGACCATGTTAAGGATCTCTTTGGTCTTTTGCTGGGATGGTTTCCATATCCAATATGTTGTAGGTACACGTGAATACACACTGTTACCTTGCCCACTGCTATGGATAAAAGCTAAAGAGTACTATATAATCTTGTCTAAAATGTACTATATAACTTGTTTACAATTATTTAAAAGGATGAGGATTGAAATATTTTCCACAGTAAACTGTTTTGTAGTGTTGCCAGGAAAATTCATGGAAAACAAATGATGCTAAAAGTTCTGATTATAGTCACCTTCCTGTGGTTGGCTTACTGATTTTTTGGGCTGTGACATCCCCAGGAAGGTGCAACAGGTTTTGCACAGAAAGATTCCCCATTGCTTCCTGCTAATATTTTCTGGGATTTATTATCCAAGCTGTGATCACTGGGTATTTATCCTTGGGGGTAAGTTTTGGAATGTGGTAGCATTCCTCAAAATCCCATTTGCTATGAATACAAGATGCTTTTGCATTTCCCAACGCTGTGGCTCTCAGGTTTTACTAGGTACATGGAAAGACTAACAGTTTGTCACTTAAGGACAGTCCCTAACAAACCAAAGTAAGGTAATAGGTATCTGCTCTGAGCTTTTTAGCTCTAAGAGTCAGGTTGGTGGTGATTTTTTTGCATTATTTTTTGTAAGCACTTTTGGTTGAGTGAAACCCAATACTAAAGAAAACAAAAAAAAAATTAAGGATCAAATTTTAAATAAACACTCATTCAGAGTCTGAAGATGATTAAGGCAATGTGCCAGGTCTCTCAATCTGTCTTTCTTACCTAACAGTAACATACTACAAAGGGGTAAGACATGGCCAAGTCACTCACAACTATCAAAATGTGAACAGGTGCCATAATTTAACAATACTAAAAGTATTAGAGAGGGTATATTTTCAGAAACTCCCTCTCCCCCATTCAGTCATAAATAAAATCAATAATTCAAGATTGCATTTAAATTTGTAGTTAATATAATTTGACAGTTTCTTTTTTGTCAAAGGGTTTGTTTTAAAAGCTATATGCCCAAGTTCTAGAGAGTATTAAAAACCACAAAGCTAAGGATTCAAGATCTGCAAAACCCATTTTTTATAAACAGAAGAGTTAAAAAGTATGCTCTTTTAATCACAGCTATAAGTCCTCATGTGTAAGAGAGCAAGCATAGTTGTGAGAAATAGTGTGTATTCTTTTATCATTATACCCAGGTACTTTTTACCCTACTACTTCCCCAACATATTAATGAAAAACAGAACACAAGCATCAAGAATAATCACTGCAAATAAAGGCATGAAATTTACAAAAGGTAATAGCTCAAAAGCTTCCTTTTAGAGATAAAATCCACTGCAAATCTGAATGCAGCAATTTATAATGAGCGGAAATGTTTCAAATTGCCACTAACTTCTCCCCCTCAAAAAGCAGGGAATTCTAAGTTACGTAATCTTGGAATCATATAATTTAGAGACCACCTAAGAAAGTAAGGCTCAGAGTGGCTAAGAGATTTGCTTAAGGCCAGTCAGCTAGTTGGTAGAATAGACAATACTAAAACCCAAGTCACTTAACCTTTTTTTCACTCTCCTGTGTATTGTAGAACAATGCATCATTTACAACGTTCTTATTACTTATATGCTTAAGAGTAGGTTAGTAAACATTTTTGGTTGTTTAAAAATATTTCATACTCATTTGCAATGCTGCTTTAGATCCTGACAGTTAATTAAACAATCAAGTGGAAAGATCTTTTCAGAAATGTATTTCGCATGACTTCATCAGCTGTTGGGAATACTCTGCTTTACCCATCATGAAAGCAGCTATAGCACAGATTGAACATCAAAATTGTTGCAGAATATTCCTAAACTATCTGACTACTTTGCATTTCTTCTTTGCTTTTGAACCTGACAAAATTTGTGAGATAAATATAAAGTTGGTCCAGGTAAATTAATAATTTTGCAATCATACAATTATTAAATAATGGAAATGTGATCTTAAATCCCATTCTACACAGCACTATTAGGAGCATTAAAAAACTTAACAAGACTGATCCCTAGTCTATGAAGACCCACAGGATTAAGAGGAGCCTCCAGAATAAGTTTTTTTTTTTTGCATCACAGTAATAAACCAACCCAGCAAACCTTAACATAAGCTCTTGCATACCACAAAGGAAGAGAATTTCGTGTTTTCTCCTAATTAAAAGAATTATAACTTAGTACTAATTAAAAGCACATTAGAATTTTTTTCTTTTGGATCAATATCACAAGATAACTGGCCAAAAATGAAAATGAAATTTATCTGGCATGCTGAATAAACCTGGATGGAGTTTCAAATGGGACACAAAAATCAAAGATCCTGTTCACTCAGTTTATGTGAGCCCTCAAGAAGGTAGATATATATATGTTTACACACACACACACACACAAGCATATGTATATGTGCATATATGTGTATACACATATATACATACAGAAACTATGGTACCAGTTGCACAGTAAATTTTTTGATGTTGGAAAACTAACTGAATACACCAGATACATCTTTTAAGTAAAGTAATGCATAGTAGTGAGTGAATCAGGCTTGAAATACATATATTTCAAAAACAGTGAAAGGCACCTAGCAGGTAACTAAATGAGTTTAACCAGTTCACACCACTTTTACAGCGTTCTGCAGTTTGATCTAGATAGCTAGATCTGACACTCTTTGCCTGTCGTGTACATGCACTAATACAGAACAGAACTCTTGTACAAGAGTTAGATTTAAAGGAGTGGCTGAAATGGGCCCTAGTGTCCAAAGGCATAAGTGCAGCTGTGAAACTCGGATTTCTCCAGGGAGTTTTGGGGCTTCCTGTAAGGTCAGCTGTTAGCAACTTATCAAACAGCTGCTGCATTAACAAAAGCTTTGCCAGCTACAGGAGCTTCTATAAGAAGGATGCTGAACTGCTGTTTTGAGAAGAAAGAAGTTCTCCAAGTGTTGCCAACCAAGGTGTCAGAAGAAGGCAAAACCCCCCAAAAAGTAGACAGAAGCTAAAACAGCACGAGAGAGAGAGAGAGAGAGAGTGTGTGTGTGTGTGTGTGTGTGTGTTGGTAGCAAAACATTCCCTGTCAAAGTGTGCTTTGGCACCACAAATCCATTACATGTTGAGTTACTGGTAGTTCAACTGTTTATGAGGCAAGAAAAACTGTACACATTTTTGTAGGGCAAAAATTAAACTCAGTCCATGTCACCTAGGGCCCGAGATTTTTTATTTTAAAACATTTGTTTTACAAGCCCAGAGAAATGAGTTCTTATGCATGGCAATTTGGCTTAATTTGCAACTCCTAGGTTCTTATCTTTTGGAAAATTGGCATGTGAGTCTTAAAAGGCAACTATACATTTACCATGGGAAGTGGCATTTAGATTCCTAGCCAAATGCAGTGTGTGGAATAGAAGTGGAGAGTGTCAGTTTAGGTTCATGTGCTTTGAGCTAACAGTATCAGTTGGAATTTTTTTTTTAATACAACTACTATCTGAGCAAAATTTTCAGGTTAGCTGTTCACTGATTACCTGAAAGCTAGAGATAAAGCAATCCATATGGCTACTGAGTTTGTTCTCGAAAAAAAAAAAAGCCTTCTTTCAGATTATTTTCTTTAAAAGCATAAAAAAAAAGTAAATTAATGTTTTTCCAAAAAAAGAAGGCTATGTTCCTCAGTATGCCAAACCAGGATTTTATAGCAAAGCGACCACTTGGTTTTTCAGTAGTTTTACTAGTCCCCATAATTCAGTAGCTAACATCAAAATTTCCAAGTCCTTCTGCCTAGAGCTCATATGTTTGGACTGGCTAGTTTTACAGCATTCCTGAGCTGGCTAAATAATGGCATGGATCTTAGAAACATACACCAGGGCCATACAGATAACACACACACACACACACACACACCCCACACCCACACACCCACACACACACACCCACACCCCCCATCTGACCAATAGCCCTTGAGTCCATTTAAGGATGACAAAAGCAAGGGGACTTTCTCCTTCACTGCAACATAATATCCTTCAAATTCTCTTGCAGGATTGTGTCCTTCACAGCATGAAACACAAAGCGGATGTTTTCAGTGTCTATGGCAGTGGTGAAATGGTGAAAGAGTGGCTTACTTCGGTTCCGCCTTTTTCTGTCAAAACATTGAACTAAGTAGCACTGAACATCCTCCAGCCTATGAGGGTCACCCTTAAAGTCTGAGAAGTGCTTCTTAATGCTGACAGTCTTCACCTTCTCCACTAGGAGGTCCATTTTATTGAGGAAGAGAATGATGGAAACGTTGAAAAAGAGCTTGTTGTTGACGATGGTCTCAAAGATGTTCATTGATTCGACCAGCCGATTGGTGCGCCTGTCCTCCATGAGGACCTGGTCATATTCACTGGAGGAGACCATGAATAGGATTGAGGTGATTCCATCAAAACACTGGAACCACTTCTGACGTTGAGACCGCTGCCCACCCACATCAACCATCTTGAAAGGTATTTTTTTAATAATGAAGTCATGTTCCACAATTCCTTTCGTGGCTTTTCTGGCCAGCAGAATATCTTGTTTACTAGGAAAATAATTCTGTAGAATAAAAGATTTGGAATGGAGGTAGAAAAAGAAGAGGGATCGGGGGAGGAGGGATATGGAGAAAGAAAGGAATGTGGGAAAAGAAGGATGAGAGGAAGGGAAAGAAAGATTATAATTTAAAAGAAGCTGAACAAACATACAATATTAAATGCCATAAAATACAAATTTACTATAATGCATGGAATTAAATGGTTCATTAAAAATAGAGGCTCAGTTTGAGGAAGAGTCATGTCACTACTCACTAAGTCAAAAGGCTTGTTTATTTCTTTGCCTTTGAGAAAAATGTTCCATTTGTTTTTGAGCCGTAGTCATCTTTTTATATTTCAAAAGTCCAGGAGTATTTTCCTGTCAAGAAATGCTTTACAAATAGCATTTGTTAATTAAAAATCTATTTGAAGCTTTCAATATATTTAGTATGCTGTCCCTGGAAAGACCACATAATCAGCATCAGCACATCCAAACAAATGTAATTAACCTTTCCTGTTCTGAGCAAAGGAATTCTAAGAGAAAAAGTTATTTTTCCTCTTTTATTTCTTTATTTATCAGTAACTAAAGTTTTGTAGTATCTAAGAAGCTGAGAATTTCCTCTCTTTGAGTAAGGAAATTCTTACTGCTGGAATCTCATTTCCCCTTCCAGTCTAACACAAAATACAGATACAAAGATGTAAAAAGTTATGGTATTCCTGTTGATAAAATGAATAATGCAAAGCATTCTGTAAACCATAATGACCTATGTAAATACTGACTATTATAACATCACATGACAAAAACAGCCCATATTTAACACTTAACATTTTTTTTTTACTTAAAAGAGGTCTCAGACAAAAAGTCTTGTAATTCTGTTTCACAAATTTTCCTCTAATTTTTAGCTGCAGGGGTCTTTGCTCACCAACTGGCCAATCCGGTCCAAGTTATCCAGGAAATACTTCACAGATTCACCCTGTCAAAGAAGGAAAAAGATCTGTGACTCAATCTTGCTGCCATAAAGCAAACAGAGGAATTTATCAAACTATTTTTTTTTCATTTTACTTCATTGCAAAAGCAAAGTTAAAAAGAATTCAAAAACAGACACCAATATACAGATGCTCTAGTGATGTTTGGGCTGGGAATGAATCAGATGAGCTGTGGGCTGTAATACAAAACAGCTCTGCTGTGCTTAATTAAAAACAAATAGTTCTAGCAAAACCACTACAGTTTTCATAGTCAATTTAACTACTAAATTGCTGACCCTGCATTTCCTGTAATGTCTCTTCTGAATCCCCAATCAGTGAATACAGAAGGTACATGGAATCAGAAAGTTATTATTAATAGTAGTAATAATAGTTTGATGACTGTTTTTACACCACAGTCACTTCCCCTTAGACGTCCCCTACATACCCCTAACTCCAACCTTTTAACCAAGGTCAAACCCTCTATCTTAAAACATTTACAAAAAACGAACAGGTGAGGTAACTATTTCTGATGGTATGGAGCACACTGCACAACCATAGTTCCCCTATCCCCTCTCTAGTGAAGAGAAAGAAGCATGTTTTATCCTAAATTCTCTGGAACCAAGATTAGTCACTGCACCCAGAATTAATTTACCTCTTAGTGTTTTAATTTACACAATTTTAGTCATTGTTTATATATTGCCCTGATTCTGCTCACTTCATTCTGAAACAGTTCATGTAAGTCTTCCCACATTTCTCTGAATTTATCATATGTTGTTTTTTTATAGCACCATCGTGCTCCATTATATTCATATACCTCAATGTGTTGAGTTATGTCACAACTTTATGTCTCCCAGTTTTTAGCTACCACAAAAAATACTGTTGTGAATGTGTGTGTGTATCTATCTATCTATCCATCCATCTATCTTTTTTCTTCCCATCTTTGACCTATTTGGGGCACATGCCCAACAGTGGCACTGTTGGGTCCAAGGGTATGTACAATTTAGCAGTTTTCCTCATATAACTTCAAGGCTTTCTATAATCCTTGAACAAACCCAAAGCTCCAATGGTGCATTTAATGTGTCTGTCCTCCCACAGTCACTTTGAGGGATGTTGGGCAATACCTCAGAGTTAGTAAGTTTCTCTTGCTATTAATGAGTTGGAACAATTATCATATAATTACTGACAGTGTGGGATCTTTGTGAAAATTATTTATTCATACCCATTCACACTTTTATATTGGGAAATAGTCTTTTATTTTATATATTTACATTTACAGCCCATTTAGTTTGGTACCTATGAATACATTCTCTCTCTCCATTTCAAAAATGACATGACTTTTTATATTTAGGTCATATTCATCTGGAAATAATGTAGGGGAAAAGGAAGAATTTGGGGGCATTGCATTATCGTATCTCAATAACAATCAAAACTCTCTGGTCCTGACTAAAGAATAAAAAAGCATATCAGTGGAACCAACCAGATAAACAAAGCTCAGAGGCAACTGAGTATGGCAGTTTTGTGACTGATAAACCCAAGGATAGAAATTACTGAGGGAAGAGGCTCTCTGACAAAAAGGAAAGGAGTTTAGCAGAAATGGTTTAGATCAAAGCATCTTACATTATATCCCATAATCAGAATGTTTTTTAAGCAACATGGTAATATTCCTCTTCCTAAAAAGACTTTGATTAGAATGAGTTTCCTTCAAAGACGAAATCACTGCCAAAGTTAGCTCCATGGACACATATCCCTTGGTTTCTTCTAAAAGCTGGCTGTACTCACAGTAATGCCAAGCGACAACATAATGGTGAGGACAGAAATCATATTAGAGGGAACTAACGGGGAAAGAAGTGATAGGTAAATGGAGGCAGGAAATGTTGGCTAACTGTTCAAGAATCAGACAAACATTACTTTCAAACTGAAAGGGACCTTAAAGGTTATATGGCCCAATCTCTTAATTCCATAAGAGAAGAAATTAATGCCTAGGTCAGCTGAGGTACATGGAGTGAGATCCCAGGATCTGAGAGCCAGAAGGGGTCTTCGAGGCCGTCTAGTCCAACACATACCTGCCCATTTCATTCTGAGATAGCTCTAACTTGCTAATAAGATTTAATTTACAGGAATTTCACGACTTCCACCAACTGTTGGCTACTTGTGTCTCCTCTGTGATCAAGCAGAGAAATTCTAATCCCCAGCTAACTTGGCAAAAGTGACACGGCTAGTTCAGCAGCAGACTTATCAAAACCAGAATTAACATAGTCTTTGTTTAAGATTTTAATGGAAGTGACCACTGTGGTGAAATTAACTTTCTTAATCAGAAATAATCTATCAAAGAGTAGGAGGAAGTTGCATTAATTTTGCATCTGTGTTATATTACACTTCCACTGAATACCATATGCCCCACAGCCTATGGAGTGGAGATGACCGGAAATTGTTTGACACAATTCTATTCCACCAAGTATTATGGAGGCATTAGAGAGACAGGAAAAGGGTAGTTGGAATGTACTAAGTTGCAAGGACTGGGAGGAGAGCAATTGTGGAGGAATAGAGAATAGCTTGTAAAGGAATGTATCAAAGTTTTAAAAACAAATGTTAAAAACTGTTTTTCCATGTAACTGTGGAAAAATAAAATACTAAAAATTCAAAAAATAAAAAAAAAGTTCTTGCTTTGCACATCCTGCCTCCTCCCACGTTCAACACAGGAAACAGCTGTGCAAGTGTTAAAGTTGTTGGGATGGATAACAAATTTACCTGATTTATTACTTACACCTTCCCCTGAAATCCCTTCCTCTTTTACCTCCTATTGAACTATATCATAACAAGTTACAGTTTTAAGGCCTTGAAAAGTAAGTTTAACGAAAGCTTCCTAAAAGTATTAAGCTTTCCTCCATCCACTTTTCCTATAAATCTCTGAAGTTAATTACAGTAACTAAAATTTAGTTCCCCACAGAGCTTGTCATATTACAAGAGATTTAAGAACTGTGTACATTCCAGATATCCCTTTACTTTTTTTAAAAAAACATTTTATTTTCCCCCCAATTACACGTAAAAACAATTTTTGACATTCCAAATTTGAGTTCCAAATTCTATCCCTTCCTCCCTCCCCCTCCTTAGATAGTAAGCACTCTGATATAGGTTATACATGTGTAATCATGTAAAATATTTCTGTATGAGTCATTTTGTGGAGGGAAAAAACTTCAAAGAAAGAAAGAAAAAAGGAAAAGAGGAAGGAAAGAAAGAAAGAGACTATCAGTATGCTTCAGTCTGTATTTAGATTCCATCAGTTCTTTTCTGGAGGCAGGAGCTTTTTTCATGATTGTCTTGGATCACTGTATTGCTGAGCATCTACGTCATTCACAATTCATCGTATAATACTGCTGTTACCGTGTACAGCGGTTCTGTTCACTTCACTCTGTATCAGTTCATGTAAGTCTTTCCAGGTTTTTCTGAAATTATCCTGCTCTTGATTTTTTTTTAAAATCTTTTTTTGGGGAGGCTTGGCAAGGGGGGTGACTTGCCCATGGTCAAACAGCTAGTGTCAAGTGTCTGAGGCCACATTGGAACTCAGGTCTTCCTGACTCCAGGGCTGGTGCTCTATCCACTGTGCCACCTAGCTGCCCCCAAAACTTTTTTTTATTTTTATTTTTTTAGGCAGTTGGGGTTAAGTGACTTGCCCACGGTCACACAGCTAGTAAGTGTCAAGTGTTTGGTCTGAGGCCACATTTGAACTCAGCTCCTCCTGACTTCAGGGCCAGTGCTCTACCCACTGCGCCACCTAGCTGCCCCCTATCCCTTTACTTCTGAGAGATAAATAAACTAAGTAGAAGAAGGCTGTACAATGTAGCAACTCACAAGCCATTTCACTCCTGTCCTCTTCTATTAATATGAAGAAAGACAGGAAGAAGCTGGCTTCTGTAAGAACTATTAAATCCCTCTTCCAAACAGCAAGACCACCAGTGACTTAGGTTGTACAGGCTGTGCTATTTTTATGAAATAATAGCTGTATAGAATAATTGGAAAATATTAACATCACCACTGTGAGAAAACATTATCTCTATTTTGTTGAGGAAAACCTGGGAACAAATGATTTACTCAAAGATACAGGAGCGAGGTTGCTGAAGTCAAGAAATGGTCTTTAAAAAAGTGTCCAACCTGGAAGAATCTTAAAATATCCCCAAATATCAAGATGAATCTTCTTTCCTTAGTTTTCTTTGTCCACTGGAACTGTGCATTTAACCCAGCAGTATTTTGATTTGTGATATTTTTTCATTCTGTGTGGTTGGTGGCATCAACTCATTACAGGAAGGACCACATACTTAAAGAAGAAAGGCCTCTAGTTTCATGTCAATTCAGTCTCAACCTCAACTCTACAGATAACTCATCAGGTCCTACACTAAAACTCCATCATTTAATCTGCACAGAGAATATGGTATGATAAGGGTCTCTAACACAGGGAAGCTGTAAGGGTATGAATTATTTAGATTCAAATTTGAGATTAATCTATAATGGCAGACAAATTCAGATACTTTATTATTCTCCTGGACTGAATCAGAATACAACATATTAGAGTCTGAATGATCATTGGACTTGGCATTCTGCCCACAGGATGATTATCTATGACAGACTAACACTTCCCATATAGCACCAGCTGATCAGAGTGACCAGTGTTAAAATTCGATCATACTTTTAAAATAAAAGGAGTGTTGCAAAAACTCAAACACTACAAGATGCATGCTTGTAGCTGATCTGTGTTGTTGGTGTTGAAATAACAACTTAGTACCTAAGGAAGGGGAATGTCAAAGTACATACTATATAAATCTCTTCACATACAACATATCATAGTAGAGAGTACATTAAAATTTTTTCAGTTCTTTTTCCTGGATTGAGGAGTTATTGTGCTGTAGATTAAATGAAACAATTGTTTAAAAAACTACTTTTTTAAAAGGATAATGATTAAAAAACTTTTTTTTAAAGGATAATGAACAATTGTCATGGAGAACACAGCTCTATT